TCGTTTTCCTCAGTCGTTCTATCACCGACTGAGGTATGTTTCTCTCTGTAGATGTACTATACTTAGCTGACATGTATTGCAGCGTGTGTTATTAGGTAGAGTATTCTAATACAGTCGTTCTATCACCGACTGAGCATCTGTTATTACTTATGCATAATGAGGTTGTTAGGAAGCGATGTCCTAACTAGTCGTCTTGAGATAACTGGGCAATGTGCCAACAGTTATGTCGTCACTACCTCAGTAAGCGTACTGAAAGGTAGGTCTAGCTGGGCCAATGCCAACGGTCAAGTCAAGAGTCCAGGTAATCGCTGTATTCAACAGGAGGTTGAACTAAGGAATACATGGGTTTTCCTACAGTATATATAGTAACTGGTATAGGGGTTGATACCCAAAGAAGAGAACAATGAGAAGGGACGCGTAAGCTATCCTGTGAGAACGTAACTCAGAGAAATGAGAAATACAAGGGCGCCCATTGGTAGAAGGTGAGTCAAGGGAGATAACGTGTGGGAAGAAGATAGCGTCCATGGGAAGTTCTACTCAGAGAAAGGTACTGTCCAATAGCAATGCTCGGAATGGAAATGGAATGAGATAAGCATGGGAAAATCATAACAGAGGTCGCTATGTAGGTCTCGTATAGTGGTTGATACCCTGAAATAGCTATGCATTATGCAGTACCACATTTTTTGCATAAAGTAACAGTAACGGCTATGGTTCCGGCCTCAACCTATGCATTATGAGGTATTATGCACTACTGTGTCATGCATTATGAGATATTCTACTGTAGCAGCAACCAACTGCATGGGGCCGTGAAAGCAATGTGCTGGGATTCATAGTTTACATGCCGGTGCGTAGTCCCATCCCCGCTAATAGTGAACCCATTTGTAAGCGTCAGTTCCATTCCGAGCTGGATCTTCGAAGCAATGCCGCCTTCAATTATGGCCCGTCTTACAGTGCGCCTACTTGGTATCTTGCCAATGATCTTGATTCCTAGGGCCTTCGCAAGAACTTGAATGATGGTTCCGACTTTCTCCTGTGCTGTGCCTGACGAGACTAGAGCTCGAGATATTGCTCTGGCACGCAGCCGTGTAGGTCCCCTTGTGCTGCAGCCGAAGTACCCCAGTCTCTTGCTTAGCCTTAACAACTGCCCTCGCAAGGATGGCAGGGTGACGCTGACACCGTTTCCGCAGTGCATAGACCTCCTTGCAAGTGCCAGAGAGCTGTTCCTTCAGGTACAAGATATGAGTACTGAGGACAGCCTGAGAAGAACTCGCATCGGCGGTAAATTGATCAAACTCCGTTCGTAACATAGAAATTTCATTGCGAGCACCCCGAGCATCCTCCTGCGCGAGACACAAGTCTTTTTCCATTCGAGAGTTTGCAATGATAAGCAAGTCGTGGGAGGAGCTTGCCACCGCAATCTGCCCAATGCAATTAGCTTGTATCTGTTCAATATCAGCTTGAAGACTTCGTATATGCGCCTCAGCTTGTTCCAAAGAAGCCTCAGAGTGCACTTGAGCTTCCAGGAGAGCTTTGTATACTTGACTGGTGAGCTCCGATGACGTTGTGAGTTCCCTGACTTTGCGCAGCAGCTTCTCCTTGCTACATTGACTGCGCCGACCTTGTGCACGAGCCAGACGCAGTCGACGCCGTAGATCATTGCACTCTGTCATTGTTGACACCAAAGCAGAATCACGCTCCAAGAGAATTGTCTTCGTGGCTGCAAGCTTTTCAGACAGCTGACTGAGTTCCTCGCGTGAAACTTGCAATTCAGAGTTGGCGATTGCGAGCTGTTCTGCCAAAGACTAGGCAGCCACAGACGTAGGGCTCACAGATATCGTATATCTCAATATATCACTCACGCGGACTCTTTGTTTTCGTGTCTGCACAGGTCGCAGTCCGGATCCAGCACCCGCACTCCCCACCACTGCACTAGTACTCGCAAGCGGCTGCCTCGCTGGCCTTCGTGCAGTTGTAGGACTCGGACTCGGTGGATCGTTCTCGTTCTGACATTGCACCGCTCGTTGTGCACTTGCTAATGCATTCAGACGTTGTTTCTTTGCCTTCGACAGCGGTGCCATCTAGGCTGGGTGTTGTGCCGGATCTGAAGAGCAGACCAATGGGAGCCATTAAATAGTGATTGAAGTATATAGAATAACAAACAAAGCTGCAGAGATCAGCAGGAACCAGCCGCGCCAGCCGTGCCCCAGGGCCGTGGCCTGGACGAGTGATGGTGGTGCACAAGCAACTACCGCCACTAATTAAACGCGTCGCGTCGGACTTCGACGCGTCTCCGGTGAGAGTCCAGTGGCTGAACATGTACTCGTTCGTAGACACGTATCAACTCGCCGTGAGACTAGTCTCTTGCCATCAAAACTTGACAGAAGCAATCTTAATATGTGCAGCTGCAATTCTCCGGAGTCAGATTATTAAATTTCGTCTCTCTTGGAATGATAAAGGGAGAGACTTTACGAGTTGCTCTCTGCTTACATTGTAGCTTACTTATATAGCCTTAAAATTATCTGACCTCGGACAATCATAGATATACTTCTCATTAACAATTTTCGTCTATGTAGCTGGGCAATATAGTGCGAACTGATGGAACTGATGTCCAGCGCATGAAGGGCTATGGAGGGAGCATGTTCTAACGGTCTCAGGTCCAGCTCCCTTGACGTGCCGAAGGGCCGGGTCCACGGGCCAAACAAGGGCAAACTCAGATGGCTCGCAGGGATTGCCCACCCCCAGCTTACGTATATATGGACCAGCAACCATCGACTTGCCCGCGAGAAAGCTGGTTGTTGAACCGGCGATGGATCGTCGATGTTCGACAAGACATGCCGAATGGGACGTCAGCGTTGTAGATGACCATGCTAACTCCGGGGCCCTTGTGCAGAGTCCTGGCTGTGTGGCACTCCCCGCGGCAAGACGCGCTCGCCAGGTACAAGTGTGTTGGGTGAGAGAGTCCCGAGTATTCATAGCGCAGTGGAGATGCGAGCTATCAGCGCGGCGTGCGTGGTGCTGGATGTCGGGCGGCTAGATAGAGGCCTGGGCTGGGCACTTGGCGAGAGCCATGGATAGTTTCCTAGAGTCACGGCTTGTTGAACCGATATGATTCTAGTACAGCCAAAGAACGGCGACGCAGTAGAAAGAGTAAGACTTGCGATGTCGCACGTCGACGTCCGTGGAGAGAGGAACGAAGAGGCTGAGGAAGAGTCCGAAGAAGAGACGTCGACTGGGTGTATTCTTGGGCCTGCGGAATGTCGTCATGTGTGATTGAGCTTGGTCGGCCAATGGAGGGTGTTCTGGGCGACCCGAGCAGCAGCCGCCATGACCCGAGTCGCTGTTCTCCATCCTCAGAACCTACATGTCTTGCTGCCGTTGACATTCTCAGTGCAAGTCTCCTCAGTGCAAGTCTCCTCTGCTAATCCTAACCTTACGAGCTCCGATCATGCACGTCACGGGCGTGCTTCCCTTGCAATTGAGACAGCGCTTCCTGGCCGTCTCGTTCTGGCTATGGACCTGCCTGCTCGTGCTCCGGGCGTCCGCGCAGGACCTGTCAGACGACCAGCTCAGCCAGGTCCAGCACAACCTCGCCATCGGCGCCACCCACAGGTCCGTCTCCCTCCCATTGCTCCTCCCTCCCATTCCGAGTAACCCCATCCCCCAGCTGGGAGCTCGGCACGCGCGCCGAAGCCCTCATCGAACTGAACACGCCCTCCTACTCCGTCTTCTCCTCCACGCCCCTCCCGCTCCCCTTCTCCGCCTACACCTACGGCCCGCCCTCCTCCCTCGCCGACGTCCTCGCCATCGCCCACGGCGTCGTCGCCAACCAATCGCAGTCCGACTCCCCGCAGCCGTTCATCAAGGACAGCGCCGCCGGCGACCCCGCGAGCGTCGGCGTCGCCGTCCTCATTGCCAACTGGACGGGGTACCAGAGCGGCAACGGGAGCGTCGACTATGCGCGCGCCGCGCGGGACCAGGTCGAGTATCTGTTCAGCGACAGCGTCCCGAAGACCAGCGACGGCGCCATCTCGCACCGCGTCGACCAGCTGCAGCTCTGGAGCGACTCGGTGTACATGGTCCCGCCGTTCCTCGCGTACTACGGCGTGACTACGGGGAACAGAAGTGAGTGTTTGCCGCTAGTACCCCCCTCGTTCGGACTGGTAGACTCATCGTGACAAAAGGTATGCTGGAGGAGGCGTATACACAGTGCAAGCTCTACCGCTCGTACCTCCGCGACACGAGCGCAAACAACCTCTGGAAACACGTCCTCATGGGCAGTGGTACGGACGAGGGGCACTGGTCGACCGGTAAGCCGTCATTCTCCCATTTGTCTATCCTCCCGATGTCCTCGGCTCCATCCATATAGTCCAAGGCTGGAACCCCTGGGTGCGAGGGTATAGCTCCGTTGGCAGCGCCAGTTACACCTTCACCGAGCGGCTCTGCTGCGACTCGTGAGTGAGCCGAGTGAAGCGCTTGTGAGCAGGCTCGGGTTCGCTCGCCAGTCCTCTCCATGCCCTCCCTCCCCCGTCCCCCACTCCATCAGTCCACTAACCCTCGTGCAATTGACCAGGCAACGCGTGGGCCGCGGCGGGCATGCTCCGCGTGCTTAGGACGATCGCGCAGTCGCAGTACGCGAACACGATGAAGCACGAGCAGATCGACCTCGCGAACTGGGTCGGCGAGATCCACGGCGGGATGTACCCGCATCTGGTGCGTGCCCTTCCGCCTTCCCTCCGCCCGTCGCCGTATATCCCATTTCCCGTCACCCCTCCCTTCCCTCTTCCCTCTTCCCTCTTCCCTCTTCCCTCTTCCCTCTTCCCTCTTCCCTCTTCCCTCTTCCCTCTTCCCTCTTCCCTCTTCCCTCTTCCCTCTTCCCTCTTCCCTCTTCCCTCTTCCCTCTTCCCTCTTCCCTCTTCCCTCTTCCCTCTTCCCTCTTCCCTCTTCCCTCTTCCCTCTTCCCTCTTCCCTCTTCCCTCTTCCCTCTTCCCTCTTCCCTCTTCCCTCTTCCCTCCCTCTCCTCGCGTCCCGAAGCGATTTTAATCCCCCTATCATGTCTCGCAGCAATCCAACGGCCTGTTCAGGAACTACCCCGACTCGTCCGACAGCGCCAACTTCGACGACGCGGCGAGCACCGCGCTGCTCGCCGCGACGGTGTACCGCCTCGCGAACGCGTGGGGCGCGCACGCGCACCTGCCGGACGCGGAGCGCAGTCGCGCGGCGCTGTTCGGGGGCAACAACGAGTGAGCGCCGTCCCCCCCTTCCTTCCCGCTTCCCTCCCCTTCCCCTTCCCGCTTCCCTCCCCTCGGCAGACACTAACGCGCGCCTCCTCTGCAGCACCGCAAGCAACGCCTCCCTCGCGCACTTCACGGCGGACATGTGGCTCACGCCCGTGGTCAACCCGAACTCGTACGGCCAGCAGGGGAGCAAGTCGCCCGAGGGGCAGGCGTTCGTGCTCGAGCTGGTCGCGGCGCACCGCGACTGGGTGGACGCGGGGAGCCAGGGGGCGAATGCCGGGGCTAGTGTGAGGATGGGCATGAGAGGAGGAGGAGGAGGAGGAGGAGCGTGGTGGGTGGGGGTTGGGGCAGGGGTGCTGGGGATTTGGTTGGGGGTGGGGTGGGGGTGGGGGTGTAAGATGTGAGGGGTGTGTGGATACTTAGAGGATTGTGTGCTTTGTGTGATTTATGTAGGCGGTGCATATGTGTTAGTGTAAATACCTTAGATTGGCTTATAGTACGGAACTCTGGGACCTGAACGAGCGTTATGGAGGGTCTCTTTCAGCACGGCCCCTGACCGGTGACCAGGTGGTACTGTGCGGACATGCATACGTATCACCATATAGGCTGCTGGATACAGCCTCAGAAGTTGGAAGCGCCGGTGCACATGCAATACTTATGCATCCACGAGCAAGGGCTGATCGATGATCATGAGCCAGGCACGATGGATGCTTGCCAGGCAATTTGGAGGGTCCAGTGGTCCAGCTCCTTGCCAGCTGCAGGTTAACGAGGCGATATCTGCTGGTACTATGTACTCCGAATGCGGGCGACTTGAATGTGTGATGTGGTCAGTGATTCGGACGCACTGTAACACATTCATATTACGATCAACACTGCTCATAGGCGATCGTATACGTACTATAGGCTCCGGTCGAACTGTTCTCCTGCAAGCATAAGCAGCGTCCCGTAAGCAGCTTACTAGTACTGTATCTCGCAGCAGCTTGAATAAGTCATTGCGAGTTACTATACTCATTGACAGACTAGGGATTTGCAACGGCGATCCGACTCGGAGGTCCGTCCATATTCACTGGATCTGATCATCCATGTTCAGGTCTTCAATGGATCGTCAGGCAAGTTCTGCCGAGAGGATTCGTGTGCGTTGCCTATGTAGTGCGAACGCGTATGCCGTCGAACGAAACCAAACTGCGGTGTATAAAGCCTGCAAAGTCCCAAGGGCTTCAGCAACAGAGAGCTACTTACTTCGCATCTTGATAGGATAGTCTAACATGCCTTCGTACGTAGTGACAGGAGCATCTCGAGGAATTGGGGTACGTGGACGCATTCTCAAATCATCGTGTATGCTTCGAATGACCCCGATAATTCGCAGCTCGAATTCGTAAGACAGCTGGTATGTTTGATGCACGATATTCGCCCCACCGGCCTAATCGCATTTTACCACAGAGCTCCATCCCAGGCAACGAGGTGTTTGGACTTGTCCGGAACAAGTCGACGGCTACCAGGTTGACCGCACTTGACCGCCCGAACGTCCACGTTCTCCAGGCCGACGTCACGGATAAGAAAGCGTTATCCGTATGTCCATTAATCCGCACCACGACAGCTGCAACGTTTCCGTCTGATTATGAGCACCATATAGGACGCTGCTGCCGAGGTCGGAAGGGTTACCGGCGGGAAACTCGACGTCCTTATCAGCAATGCTGCCCTGATTCCTACGGGGCGCGCCGTGCGCGGCGTCCGGAGCTAGTAAGCAAAGCATATTGCACGAGAGTATCACGCAACTCACAGCGATGATGCACAGTCTTCCAGATCATGCCGACGAGTTGATCTCGGATGTCAAAGACGCTGTGAGTCGAGAGCCTCGCATCGCACACCAGCACTTGACAACACATGTTGAATACAGCTCAACGTCAACCTCATCGGGGTTCTGCTCACTACCAACGCCTTCCTGCCCCTCCTACTGCAAGGCTCCGTGAAGAAGGTGATCGCGATCTCTACCGGGCTGGCGGACCTCGACTCTACGCTCGAAGTCGAGATCTCGTCCACGGCACCCTACTCCATCTCGAAAGCCGCGCTTAATATGGCCATCGCGAAGTACGCTGTGGACTACAAGAAGGATGGCATTGCCTTCCTTTCGCTAGCTCCGGGTGTCGTTGACACCTCGGAAGGGAAGGGAGTTATGCAAGGTACGTCTCCCTGCACGGGTTCTGGGTTTCCTGATGTCGATAAATTCATGAGCATCCATGGTACAGGGTCTCCTGAGGAGATTCAGGAAAATATGGTATTGGCTGTGCGCTTCCAGAAGAAGTACCCGCACTGGTTGGGTCCCTCGACGCCCGAAGAAGCTGTTTCGCAGATGCGGAAAGTCATTGATGATTTGACGCTGGAGAAGTCGGGGGATTTCCTTTCACAATATGGTAACAAGCAGTGGCTGTAGATGTCAAGGTAGCATAGGCCTGTTATACACACCAGGGAATCGCGGACCTTATGGTTGTGTGCTGAAATTTAGATGTCCGTGGATTCGTTCGGATAAAGCATAAAATTGATCCTTTATTGGCTTGCAAGAGCATACACGAAATTCCCGCCGTGCTACATAGGTGTCTGTCCAGAGGTGCTACACTCTCGATCTTTCCGCACCACATTCGCAATCACATACTAGGGTCCGCCGAGGAGGACGTCGATGTCCGCGCCGATACAAGGTATGACACGAATCGACTGAACCGCCTCTACATGTCTCGGCAGGTCTGGGATCACTGTGGAGAGCTCAACACGCCAGCGATATACTGTACGGCGTATAGATTGAGTGCATTTGCCGCCTGCTTCTGCACATCAAACACTTGGCCCAGACTTGGACGGAGTACTGAACAGCGTACAGGCGACAACGACCGGTCTCTTTCATGTATTGATATCGTAGGCTCTTATGTGCAGGTTCGACCTCTTTCATAAAGCTCGAACTATTGACTCTCCGCTGTAAGTATTCGCGGGTGAAGCGTATTACGATTTCCTATCACGCTGTGCCTTGCCCTGCAGATATATGGCCCCTGTGTCGGTACCTATGGGCTGCGTTAACGGGCGCAGGAACGGCGTGGAGATCACGATACTAGCTCGGAATAGCCAGCCATTAACGTGAGGACCTGCGGCGTGTTCTGCTTGGTTTCTTGGTCTATGGGACTTGCAAACATAGAAGGGTGCGAGTATCATATATTCATAGCTGGACCGAGACCGATATATGTATCCCCGAAAAAGAGCACAGCATCGTGCACCAACGTCGCTAGGCTAGGCGGGGATGTCGGTATTCACGATATGTTCGCCGTGGGTGGCTGGACTGCATATCGATGCAGTACATACTCGCACGTCACCAGGTTTCGTGCGAGGTCACTAGAAGATGAAGGAGTATCGAATATCTGGGTTGAGAAAGTCGGGTACATAGGCGGACTTAAGGTACGCTATGTCGGTGTTGCGGTTGATTGCTGCTAATCAGACCTCCTGATCTGTAACGACAGGTACTCAGTAACGACGGGCATCATATCAACGACGGATCAAATTCCAGGGCATTGGAACTTTTCGACCTTGATTTGCGGGGAATTACGGCGGCTCCGACAGGATTGATGCGCGTTACTGTAGTTGTGCCTGGCGCAGCCTATGCCGGTTCTTTTATAGTAAACCGGACCAGTACCGCAATCGGGAATATCAGATCTGAGGTCGCACCAGTCTGCTAATCCATCACAATAATCTCGACGTTATGCACCAGGACCCCTGATTATCAGTATCGAGGCTTTGTGGAAACGCGGACAAAAGTTGGCCATCTGAGACCCCTCAGGCCTGATTTGTCGCGGACAAAGCGACCGATTTTGGGAGCCCAGCGGCCAACCCTTATTTTTCCCGCGGACATCACCTGCCCATTTTGGGCAGGATTTCTCGGCATACGCCGAGCGCGGGAAGATTTGAGCGTTACCCACGCCACAATTCCCAAATATGGAAGGCAAATCGAGCTGGCACCTGATTTTTCGCGGACAAAAGGGCGTAAAATCGGGAAATTTGGCGCGGACAAAGACGCTGAATTTTGGGCATCTAAAATAAAGCCTCGATACTGATTATCAGGGGTCCTTATGCACCCGCCTGGCGGTCCAGTCTGGCCCATGACCGCGCAGGCATCTGGGTTAATCCTCTTGGACATTGTCACGAGTCATTTCTTCCTGGATTTCCAGCGTATTGAAATGTTCGTCCAAGTAGTCGGCATAAATCGACATAGGGATTGCCTAGGAGAAGGCTAATCCAATACGGGGCAAAGGCGCCAGGGAGCTTTGCGTGTCTAAGTAGTTGCTGTCACGCCGAGCGGTCACGGTGATTTCGCTACCGCCACAAGCCACCATGAAACCCTCAACCGATCACCCAGTTGCAGAAAAGATGAGCACCCGTTGATCACACTCAAATTAGGCGTTCTAAGATGATGGTGGCGAACGGATGGATGGCAGGTAGGCAGCTGATTTCTGGGCTGCGGCTGTGTTGTTGTGCTGCCATCCCCGCATATCTACTAGGATCCCCGCCAACGGTATAGTTCAACTCCCCACTTTCGGTCTCGTCCCCTCCCTCTAGCCCCTTACCTGTTTGTCACCATGAGTCTTCCCCTGCCTCGCACGTCGTTGCCCGAAGAGAACAAGCCAAGCTCATACAAGCACGGTAGATTGTTTACCGAGGAAGAGGTAGCTCAGGTAAGTTAAATCGCTTGCGCACTCGCTCGGATGGTGAATGACGGAACGAACGTGTAGCATAACAAAGAAGGGGATGTGGTAAGCTGCTGTGCCCCGTTGTCCTGACCCGTCGTTCTCACCCTGCCGTTAGTGGATCATTATCGACTCTAAAGTCTACGACGTATCCAAGTTCGCCGACATGCATCCTGGCGGAGCGTCAGTCTTCTACCCCGAAACAGTTGGTCAGTCTCTACGTGCATGTTGTATCGTCTTTTTGCTCAGTCGCCTTCCAGCTGGAAGAGATGCCACAAAGGTCTTCTTTGGACTTCACCGACATGAAGTACTTCTCCGCCCGCAATACTCTCGCCTGCAGATTGGCACGATTATCGGGCAAGAAGAGAAAATTAAGCCACCCGCGCCAGGAGCGTTGTCGCAGGTGCCCTATGCAGAGCCGACGTGGCTTGTCAACGGCTATTTCAACCCGTATTACAATGACAGCCACCGCAGATTCCACAAGGCCGTCCGGACGCTGTTCACAGAAGTCATCCAACCTGATGCACTTGCTCGTGAAATGGACGGGAAAAGGATGAGCCCAGAGGTCGTGCGGGCATTGGCGTATGTCTCACGATCTCGACGTGTATGTTATTTTGGACTAATATCGTTTCAGGGACAACAATATCATTGGCATGCGTCTGGGCCCCGGGAAACATCTGAAGGGTCGGTCATTGATGGGAGGGGTCATTACGCCGGAAGAGTTTGACTACTTCCATGAGGTAGACTCCGTCTCAGAACCAGCTTATAGTCGAGTCTCTGATAAATTCTGGTCTCTAGTTCATCATCGACTTGGAACTTGGTCGCCTCGGAATGCGCGGGTACTCCGACGCGTTTATGGCGGGTGTCCTGATCGGTCTTCCGCCCGTGCTCAACTTCGGCTCGCCAGAGCTGTGTGCGAAAGTAGTACCCGACGTATTAAACGGAAAGAAGTTCGTCGCCTTGGCAATCAGTGAGGCCTTTGCTGGCAGCGATGTTGCCGGCATGCAGACCACCGCAGTCAGGGACGGCGATTACTGGATTATCTCAGGAACCAAGAAGTGCGCGTTATCCTCCATGTGATTGTGCGTCTACTGACTACAAGAGATAGGTGGATTACGAATGGTACATTCGCGGACTACTTCACTACGGGATGCAGAACAAGGGTAAGCTATTCCCTCGCCCCGGAGGCTGCACTCCTCATGCTGTCATTAGGACGGCCTCACCGTTATCTTGATTCCACGAGGGGAAGGCGTAAATACCAAACCACTCAAGACGTCGTACTCCTCGGTCGCCGGGACGGCCTACGTCACCTTTGACAAAGTGCGAGTTCCCATCGCGAACACGCTTGGTAAAGTGGGCGGTGGCCTTGCCGTCATCCTCAGCAACTTCAACCACGAGCGGTGGACTGTGGCTGCTACCAGTCTGGGCACGCAGAGGTTCATCCTGGAGGAATGTCTCAAGTGCGTATTCTTAGTCCCCAACGTCTTCCAGTGTGGGTATGCGAAAACTGACTTCGTCACTGAGGTGGGCGAACCAACGACAAGTGTTTGGAAAACCCCTCGCTTCCCAGCCCGTCATCCGCGCCAAGCTCGCGAGCATCATATCTAGGGTCGAAGCATGTCAGAATTGGATGGAGTCAGTCACGCATCAAATGTGCAACGTGTGTCAACTCCCCCATGCTCACGAGCGTCACTAACATATAGCTGTCAGATGTCGTATAAGGAGCAATCTGATAAGCTAGCAGGACCTATTGCCCTTGCGAAGCAGTACGTTGTACCCGCCATGATCGTATTAGAACGATGGGCTCATTATCTGACATCTACAGATTCGTCTCCAGAACAGGTCGCGAGACTGCGGAGGATGCTACTCAGATCTTTGGCGGCCGTGGTATCACGGTGACAGGTATGGGCAAGTACATAGAGAATGTGAGTGGATCCTGTGCATCGCCAGAATGATCTATGCTCACTTTGGACATAGTACCATCGCACGTCACCATATGATGCTATTCTGGCTGGAGCTGAAGACGTCCTCGCCGATCTAGGCGTCCGCCAGGCAATCAAGAAGATGCCTTCGGATGCACGGCTGTAGCGTCTGCAATGGACTTCTCCGCTTGTCAGAGTGCTCAATATAATATATTCCATTCCTCTCCTTTACGGTTCTGGTGTAGGCTGTGACTGAGATACACCCGTTCATTCATTTATCGGATGTCTTGTAATAATTTTAATCCATATATGATGTACACCATATTTGCCGTATTCCGACCTCAATATACCAGCTTGAATCTTCGCGCTATAGCCCTGCCCCAACCAGTCGGTCTGGGACTGGTCCCAATTTAGTAAGATTGTTCGCAGTCAGACTTTGTACTATTTCCCTGTTATCGTGCCTCTCCTTCATTCTCCATGGATTATGGGGCAAACGTCCAGGACATCCTATCTTTGGAATTCATTCCCGACGATCGCTTCCATCGGTCATCGGCCAGGAAAAACCCTACGCGCAAAGAGACGTGCCAGCAGACCAATAAAGTATCCACCTATAATGCGAGGCAACATCAGGTCCCCCGACGACAGCCCGATGGAGCATTGAGGGGAGTGGTTGATTCATTACTGCCATGGAACCTCCATAGGATTTTGCTTCCTTTGCGGGATTGTCTTCCCGTGCGGAGCAAGCGGCACAATCATGCCTCAGGCTGACCCAGTGACTAGGGTCTGGCATGCGCACGGGCAGGCATTACCCGGGTACACCCACCGCCCGACCCGTACTTTACCCGTGCGGGTGTACCCGTACGGATCATGGGTACCCATCCGTTGTACCCGGGACGGGTACGGGCAGGACCAGTGCTAGGGTGGGTAGACCGTGGGTCACCCGTGGGCCGAGGACCTATTTACCTTGTATTTGGAGTGCTGACTGTGTTGGCAACGAATGTCTCGTCCAAGTCTCGTCCGTTCGCTCCACCTTCACTCCTGTACAGTCTGTACTATCAACGCCGTCGTCGTCATCATCTCCTTCGTCGCCCGTACTGCAATCTACGATCCATAGTTTCATTAGCCTTTCCGATGCGGTAGCCGTGCATACAGACTCATCATGCCTCCATTGGCCCACAAGCTGGATGACATCTTGGCATATGTACCACTCCATTCAATCACTTACAGCATAATATGTCCTTGCAATCATTCAAGGCCCAGGTAGCAGTAGGCTCATGGATCAAGACCCCTCTGTTATCCGATGGGGAAGTTGTTGCTCAAGTGATTGAGGCAGGTAATAAGGCAGATGCGAAGGGAGGGGGAAGGGCAAAGCAAAAGCAAATGATAGCATATAATTCTTACCCTATACACTATCAGCACGAGATAGAGGTACTTGACAATACACGTACCCGTGGGCACCCATGGGTACCCATGGGTACACCCACGGGTCTACCCATACCCATGTCACTTTGCCCGGGTCGGGTACGGGCACCGTCCTCGCCAGCACTTTGCCCGCGGGCACACCCA